AGGAACCAATGACCAGCTTCCGCAGGGAAGTGATGAGATCAGAGTTGTGTTTTAGAATCGTCTTACTGACTGAAGCATCAATGAACTGGAGTCAGGCAACACCAAGGCAGGGAGATCAGTCCAGTGGTTATAGTCATCCAAAAAAGTTGAGGCAAGAAGTCAGAGAGACAACCAGAAGAGCTACCAGTTAAATGAGTGCTGATGATGACTAGATGAGAGAAATCAAAGGACCAGGTTTCTGGCTGGCACAATGGGCAGATGACCCATGGCTAGCATTTACTGAGTTCTTACTATGTATGTGCCAGACTCTAGGCCAAGTACTTGATATGCATTATCTCATTTACCCTCACCCAACCCTGTGCATGCCATCATCTCCATTCTACAGGGGAAACAAGGGTTTCTGTTAAACAATTTGTCAAAATTGCAAATGAAACTAGACATTGTGACTAAGTAAGATTATGTATATAGACAGCTGGTACAGTGAAAGCTCCCTTTTCTTAATTGCCTGCATTAGTACATCACTCTGTTGTTTACCTTGCTGGTAAACAGCACGTAAGTTAATACAGTACACTTGGTGTAGTTCTGAAAACTTGAAAGTAGACTGTCAAAAATTAATCAGAGTCCTGGTTTGAAAGGCTATCTGCTTCCAGATCACAAACATAAGACTCTGAGATTATAATTGGAGCAGACCTGCCAGAGACAATGCTGAGTCGCCAAGAGACTTCACAGGTGCCCAGGGTCAGGATAGTTTAAGGACCGCATCTATCACCTAGTAACAGGGTAAATACCAAATCATATTGCCCCTGAACCCGGTGCAAGGGAAAAAGGTTTAGGGTAACTACTATTCATTAAACCACCATGCTGTTACCGTCTAGCTTCCCAGAGCACGAGTGGGAGAAAGGCCTTTCTGCTATCACAAGCGAATTGGGTCTTCAGTTACACATGAAGCCTTACAACTGGCAACTTGCTAAAAAAACCCATCGTGGTTTAGAGCTCTGGGGAGCACAGACCATGGTCAGGACTAGTGCTTCGTACAAGCGGGGAATGCCTATCGGAAATGAAATAATTCCATCTCTTTGAATTGTGAACTTAGAATAAGGTGACCAGACGTCCCGCTTTTGGTGGGACAGTCCCGATTTTGAACAATTTTTCCCGTGTCCCACGGCGCTTTAAAA